GGGCACCTCCTTTGCTGAGGAGACCCATTTTCTTGCATTTGACAGAAACAGGGCACAGGAGACGATTCTGAGCCTCTCTATGCACCCAGCGCCCTGCTTGCGGGGTAACCCTCCTCCCCTCCCTCTCTGAGCGAGATCGCAGCTTATCTCTGCCAGGCAAGCGGCGCAATGTCTGCTGGTGCGGCAGAGCCGGAGCAGAGCTGGAGCAGAGCCTTTCCTGATCCCGCTCATCTCTGCGGGCAGGGCACCGCTGTAAGCCGGTGTGCGAGCCCGGCGGTGCTGTAGGGGCTGTGCGAGCATGTCGCCTGCATCCCTGGTGCATACGGGACGCGAGATGGATCCTGCCAGGTACTGCCTTATTTCCTCATCTTCTGCATACTCCAGGCTCTGCTGTTTTATTTAAGACCGCTTGCTGTTTTAGTAGCACAAGGGACAAAATATCTGTCTGCACGGCGTGATTTACTGGGGGTTGGAAACGCGCCAGGGAGTCTAAATTCAGATTCAACAAGAAGCGTGATTCCAGCCAGCAGGCTCCCTCTCCGCACGCACCAGCTTGAACAGATATTTCGTTCTCCCTCTGCTGCTGGTTCCTCCCAAAGGGCAGCTCGCAATAACCATAGCAGCAAAGCTGCCTTTTTGCTTTGCTGATATTTGTTTTATCATCCGTCCTTCCTCCTCGCGGCTCAGCATGCCTGTGTGCTAGCGGGGTCCTGGGGGCTGCTCAGAGTCCCCCCGCTGCCGCTGCCTGTGCGTACCTGTAGGCAGATGCTCTGGTTGTCGTTAGCGGCTGCTGTGGAAACAGGAACGGGACTTCAGCAGCAACAGTAGGAAGAGACATTTTTTCCAGGAGCTAAAACCAGCTCATTCTCCCCAGACCTCTTTCCAATTTCGTGGGGGTAGATGAATCCCTGCTTAGAGCTAACATCTGCCTCCCAAGTTGGATGCCAAACCAGAAAGAGCTGTTTCTTGATTCTGATTTGAATCTGGCCCAGCGCTATCAAAAACCACCCAAAATGGTGGAAAAATACAGGTGATATTGGCAAGATGTAGCAGGGTTTTGAAAAGCTCAAGTCTAAATCCTGTGTGTCTTGTTTGCCGTGTTTATAGATGGAACCCTGTACAAGTTAGGCAGCAATCGGGGCTCAGATTCAAGGCCAAAGTCTAATCCTGTGCCAGTGCGTCTTGGCTTCAGGTAGTCGCTGCTTAACCATATGCTGCTGGAGGGCTGGGGAGTTAGCCTAAGCCTAACCCTGGGGAGCAGGGCAGG